CTGAAAGCTGAAAAAAAAGCAAAATACAAATGATTTACATATACAGCTATTGCCATGTGTTAGGAATTTTGAACAAATCAAGATAGATCAAAATTCTGGCTTCTGGATTGCCAGTAATTCAAAAGTTCAGGTGGACACTACTCAAACACTATGATAAAGCTGTTATATCTGAACAGTTGTTTTTTTTGTAAATAATTTTTATTGTAGTTTTTCTTTTCCAAAACTCTAATACATATTCAAACAGACAATGTCATTTTTATATATTTTGGATTAACAATTCACATAAAATCTATATTATATACATATATACATCCTCAGCTTCCTTATAAATATTACCCATTTTTGTTTCTGTTGTCTATCCGCCTATACCATTTTTCCCAAACCGCATAATATTCCGAATCCTCTTTTTCTTTTAATTCTAAAGTCAGTTTATTCATTTCAGCACATTCAAATATTTTTTGAATAATCAATCCCTCTGGTGGTAAGTTATGTTCTTTCCAATATTGCGCGAATGCAATTCTTGCTGCTGTTTGTATATACAGGATCAGATATCTTATTTTTTTTAATCAAATTTGGTTTTTAATATTCCCAGGAGAAATGTTTCCAGATTTAACTCAGTTTGGCAGTTTGTTAAATCTTGTACCCAATCTCATATTTTGATCCAATACTTTTTCGCTTCGGGGCATAACCACCAAGCATGAAAGAAGGAACCTTGGTATTGGTTGCATTTCCAGCACTTGGGGCTTAGATTTGGGTACATTTTGGCCAGCCTTGCTGGAGCTAGGTGTCAAAAATATAGCATTTTATATTGATTTTCCTTAAAGGCCAGCGACTTTTTTAATGTATAGTTTTTATGCCAAATAGTTTCCCAATCATCTAGGTTTATGTTATGTCCTACATTTTTCACCCATGCGATCATTGGTTCTTTTACCACCTCCTCTGCTCTATCAAATTCTAATAAGTAATTGTATAATTTAGATATTAATTTTCTTTCAGCGCCAATCAGCAATTTATCTAATTGTCTTGGTTCCAAATCTATTCCGTGTTCTTCCATATCTTTTTTGTATCTGGATTGTATTTGTAAGTATGGCCACCAGTCAATGGATATTCCTTGTTCTTTTAATACCTGGTTACTTTTAAGTTTTCCCTGTTTATCTAAGATTTCTGTGTATCTAGGCATTTTACTAATGTCTAATGTGTTGGGGTGGATCATAGCTTCCATGGTAGATAACAACCGGGAATTTTCATATAGTGTTTCTTCTTTATATCTTCCCAAATTCATATCAGTACATCTCTTATTTTATATCTGTAAAAGTATGAATGTATCCTATTCCCTTTGTCCCACATAAAAGCATGCCACCCCTTTCGTAAATTGTGTCCTTCCAGAATTAAGATTCTTCTATTCCTTAAATTGACCCAATCCCTTATCCAAACTAACGTAGCTGCTTTGTGGTATAGTTCACATTCCCACACCAGGAGACCAAAACCATCCCTACTTCTACTGTCTTGGAGAAAGTGTAGTTTTATCCTTGCCTTTTTTCCAGACCAGACAAATTTAGTAATAATTTTATTAAGCTCCATGAAAAATTTTCTATTTAATGGGATGGGTAATGTTTGAAATACGTATAATAGTTTAGGTAGGATATTCATCTTAATAGTCGCTATCCTACCTAAGAGTGATATTTGTAACATTTTCTACTTTTCCAAATCTTTCTCAATTTGTTGGACCAGCACCATATAGTTATCCTCCTTTAACGAGGAACACCTTGCTGTTAATCATATCCCTAGGTATTTAATTTTCTTAACAATTTGTAAGTCCGTTTCTTTTTCTAATTCTTTTTTCTGAGTTGTTGTTAAGTTTTAAATTATCATTTTGGTTTTCCCTTTATTAATTTTAAGTCCTGACATTTCCCCATATGTTTCTATTTCCCGTATTAGGGTGGGGCCAGATTCCAGAGGTTCCTCAATAATAAATACCATATTGTCGGCAAAGGCCTGTGCCTTGTACTCTTCTCTTTTAATTTTCATTCCCTTTATCTCTTGGTTTCCTCTAATTCTATTTAATAATATTTCTAATGTTAAAATGAAAAGCAGTGGTGACAATGGGCACCCTTGTCGTACCCCTTTAGTTATCTGCAATGTATTAGTAATATTCCCATTTACTATTACCCTATATCTGAACAGTTTTAACTATCATAGGATAATAATAAAACTCAAAGAAACTGAAAAAAACAGGAAGGCCTACAAAAGGAAAACTATATCCCTTTCCCTCTCCAAATTCTGTGACTAAATATTAAAAAAGGCCCCAGTGGTTCTGGCTGTAATATTGAGTGGTCATTGAAACATCACTCAAATAGAGGAAAGATATAATAAGACAGGTGACAAAAGAAGACAGTTAAACTGTAAGTAAAACACACCTTTTCACAAAAAGAGAGTCTGTGTCAGATGATTTAGAAAAAATCATGGAATTGAAAGGGATCTTGGAGGTCTTCTACTCCAGTCCTTTTGCACAGGAATACTCAGACCATCCAAAATAAATGGATATCCAATCTTTGTTTGGGGGAAAAAAAGTCTAGCAATGGAGCATGACTCCAGAAAGCAGGCTATTTTGCTGCTTAATAACTTTCTCAGTCAGAAATTCCTCCTCATTTCAAATTCGAATCTCTCAGTATAAAGTTTTCATCTACCAGTTCTTGTCTTTCCTTTAGGTGCTCTGAAGAATAAATCCACACCCCTTCCCACTGTCATCCATATATTAGAAGACTGTTATCATATTCATGTTAGCCTTCTCTTCTTTTGACTAAACTTATCCATTTCTTTTCACTTATAGCTTTTGCTTCCAATCCCTTCACCATCTGTGTTGCTCTTCTCTGCACTCTTTCCAGTACCTCAGCAACTTTTTTGTGTTGTGTGACCAGAACTGAATAAAGTATTTCAGGATGATCTGTCTAACACTTGACCACCAGTAAAATGGTACTAACATTTCCCATGATCTGGTCACAATGCCTGTATTGATGTGGCTCAAAATGTTATTGGGTCTTTTGGCACTTGCTATTTTATGATTAATCTGTAGTCTACCAGAATGTGGACACTCTTCTCTAGCACTACTGCTGAGCCACGTGATGCTTGTCTTGTACCTCTGCATCTGATTTTTCCTAGGTAATTTCAGAACCTAACTTTTTTTTTACTGTTGAAAAGCATTTTGTTGGATAGAGTCCATTTTCTAAATTTGTCCTTTTTGTTTACCCCAGAGTTCTTTATGCAACAAAATTTCATCATCTGTCTCCCATTTTTATTTCTCTGGTATTGCTTGTGGTTGGACCTTATTATCTCAATATTCCCTAACCCTTCTGAATTATTTTCTGCCTCAGGATTTTCATACATGGGATTTTTCTTACTTTTCCTTTTCATTTATCAAAATCAACCTTCTTGAACACTAAAACACTGATCCGATTACCTTTAGTTCTCCCTGCCTGAAATACACTGAATTATATATCATATTTCCTTTCCTTTTTTTGAATGGCATGTTAAATGTGGTTAACAGGCATTCAGCAAACTAAGCATAATTTTCAAGAACAATCTCCCCCTATGCCTGAAGAGAATAGGTTTTGATCAGGTTGTGCTACCTGCTCTAACATATGCCGGTGAAATAATGGACACTAACCTCACAATCGTTACAAAAGGTACAAGTGGTGCAAAGAGCCATGGAAAGATGCATGCTCAGAATCTCAAGATAAGATAGAAAAACCTGCACATGGATTAGAGAACAAATGAAAGTATACAATATCATCAAGAATGTCAGACTGGCCCCAGCTACTCCCTAGGAAAGAACGACCCTTGACTCCATAGGATTTAGAGAAAGGTACTTTACTAGAGATGCTGAGTGCAGCATGGATGAGGCAATCTCTGAAAAAAGAAACCGCACAAAAATCAGATATTGAAAGCAATCCCCAATGTCCAAAACCCTCCTCCCTAGGAAAGTAGTCCAATCAGGTTCCATTCCAATGTTTTGAGAAGATGCCTCTAGGCACCAATGTAAATTCCTTTCCCAGGACTGGTGTCCTTGAAGCTCAGTTTGGCATCTCTGGTTCCTGTTAGTGTCCATACTCTCCAATTTCCTGCAGCATTCTTTCACACCTCCAGCACGCTTCCCTTCCTGGATGCCCCCCCCCCCCCCCCCCCCCCCCCCGGGGCCCCCCCCCCCCCCCGGTTATGGCAGTTGTTAGCAAGCTTCAAAGAAAGTGAAGATGAGCAGCTGACAAAGAAAGTAAAAGAGACCTAAAACAAGATGGATTGACGACATCAGCAAATATTGCAGGCCCAATTGGCAAAAGAAAGCTCAGGACTGTATTGATTGGAAACATGCAGAAGAGGCCTTCATCCTGCAGTGGATAGACAATGACTAAAAAGATGATGATGATAGATCATATGGCCGCTGTCTGCCAAGTTTCCTACAATTATCACTTCTTCAACAATTTCTTTCCTAGTAAAATGCATTAGACCCAATATAGCTGAACCTTGAGTTCCCTCCTCCACCTTATGGACAATGAAAATGTCTGCAAGGCATGTAAAGAACTGTTGGAGAAGTTATTGCAATGTTTGATTCCCAATTAATGTGGGATAGTTGAAATTCCCTCATTTCCATTGCAATGTATTTCCTGGACCCCTTACACATTTGAACAGTAATTCAGTTATATTTTCTGCTTGGATGGTACACACACAACAATGTCATTATTGTTCTTTTTTCCTTTAATATGTACCAGATGCTTTGGGCAATTTTCACCCTTAGTGTCACAATTAAATGCAGGAATATTATTAAGAATTTGAACAGTTCCTGGATTTGGGATGAAATTAATTTTATCAACTACTGCTAGCCGTTTGGTCTCAGATGTTAAAATCTTGTCCTCTCCAGTGAGCTGAGCAGATATAGGAACTGCCTTGTTTTAAATATATTTCTTGGGACTAATTTTAAAGTATATTAAATTCCTTGTATTTTTCAGATGGAATCCATACACTCACCTGTGCTCTGATGCTGCTGAACACTGATCTCCATGGCCATGTAAGTATAGCTAATAAAAAGAGACTAACTTTGATTCTCCCCTGAGATTCCCCCTTGACTTTAACCTTATGGTAAATATGAGGCTATCTGGGAATACCAGAATAGTTTGGAAATGAATATTGTAAAACAAATGGTAGAGGAGAGTGACTTAAATATTTCAATTAAATCTAGTTTCATGCTCCAGATATAGCAAAAGACACTGCCAAATGTAGCTTTTTAAAAAGTATACTTTTGATCTTAGCTAGAATATCAGTTAAAATTATCTCCAAATTATTTGTTAACATAAAAGTCTCTAGTTTCTATTCTTCACCTACCACAGGAGTTAGCCATGTGTTTTCCCTTAAGGTGAAGAAATTTTCAAGTTGACAACTGGGTTTAACCTGTTCAAGTGAAGAATTAGCCGCTGTTGATTTGCTTCTTCAGCTCATCAGCCCTTGAGAAAGTCCTGAACCATCTTGACATAAGCTACCTGGAATGTCTGCATGCTTTACTATAGTCCATTAAGGTTATAAGGAAATACAGGCTTGAGGCTTGAACAGCAACCCTTTTTTCATTCTCTGCTTTACTTACTATGATGCTTAATGAAACTTACTTAAGAATGTGTGACTACAAATTAGCCTAATAAAAATGTTGCCCTACTGAGAGGAGACGGATATAATGATCCTTCAGAATACAATGTCAAAATGTATAATATTTGGGGGGTCTGATGTTACTGTACCACAACTGGTACAAATACAAATCTAGAACTTAACATATACAAAATCCAGAACTTCATATATTGTAAATAATTCCATTTGTGTTAAATCTCATAACAATGACTCTGTCAGACCTGTCCCAGTCTAATCCCTTAGGGAAGAAAAACCTTCGACTCCATTTGTTTGAAGTGAAACGTACTTTTACTAAGAGATACTGGTTGCAATAAAGTCAGGAGGAATCTGAGTTTCCCACGCAACAAGATCAAACTACTTCCTTCAATCCCATCCCTCTCCCCCATGACCAGTCCAACCCCAGGCAATGTGATGCAACTTGGATGTTTCTTTCCATACTCAGGGCTAACTTTCCACACTCAAGGCAAATGGTCTTGAAGATGCCTTGGCATGAACCGGTCCCATGGTTTTCTGCTTTTCTTCAGCTGTCATCTCCCCCCACAAAAAAATGCACACAGATTTATTGCTGCCTGTTTGTCTGCTCCTCATGCCTCCCCACCCAGTCCTTTGATGGCAGGACACCAGTGCGGCACCAAGCTGAAGATGGTGGATCTGACAGACTCATTAAAAGATGTTTAATTTTGTGGAAATAAATAATAAAGAATAATTAAAAAATAGGTCAAATATCTTTAAGGTTATCAAATGGAAATATGGGAGTCACTTTGGTGTAGTTGTTAAGGCGCTGTCCTAGAAACCAGGAGACTGTGAATTCTAGTCCCCCGATTAGGCATGAAAGCCATCTGGGTGACTTTGGGCCAGTCACATTGTCTCAGCCCAACCCACCTCAAATACTTGTTGAAGGGAAAAAAGAGGAGAAGGAAGGAGTACTAAGCACATTTGCCACCCTGAGATACTTATGAAATAATAAAGGCCTGATAAAAATCTAATAAATAGAATAATAAACCATAATTATGTATTAAGTAGTACAATTTGTCATTAAAAAAAATAGAAACAAAGCTAAACAAAAACAATTATGAGGTTGGATGAAAGTATGTGAAATTTAGCCCCATGAAATTCTTTTTGTGTTTGTTATTGTGTGTGCCTTCTGGCAACTGGTCCCTGCAGTGAGAGAGTGCGACTAGCTGGAAGTCACCCAGCTGGCTTTGTGCTTAAGGTCAGACTAGAACTCATGTTCTCCTGGTTTCTAGCCTGGTGTCTTACCCATTACACCAAACTGGCTCTTGCATGAAATTCTTTAGTACTGTATATGTGAAATTATTCATGGAACATTTTAGTTTTGCGTTAGTATAGGAATAGGCAACCCCCAATTTCCAAGACAGTATCACTGAAATCTGATGACAAGATAGTTGGATTTTAATAAAATGACTCTGGTCCATGGGGGAGGGAGAAAGTTGAATACAGTCCCCCAATATCTTCTCCCATCGATTTTACTTTCAGTAATCAAATTATTTTTTTTAAAAAAGTATGACCATTAAAATAGTCTAAGATAAGTAACTGTAATATAACTCATCTATATAATAAAAACAATGCAAATGTACTCCCAGTTCCTTTTTGGAGCTCAGTTCAGCCCCTACAGGTCATTTCTTCATTTGGAAAAAGTCCATATTTTTGAGTATCATTTTTCAAGCACCACATTGCATTTCAAATGTGGTCCTTTGCCGTAAAGCTAATCTATTTAAATTTCTGCCTGGATTTTCATCTTCTCTTATTGGCTTAAGTTTTCCTTTTTTTCCAGACAACTTGGTCCCTTTAATTATAATTGGCAGCTTTCGATCTTCCTGCTGCTTCTTTGCCCAGACCTTTGGTTAAAGTGTTTGAAGGCCCTTTTGACTACTATGGATCTGTCTTTATTGTTGCCCATTTTTTGGCCACTGTTTGTTCCTTTATTGTTGCATTGTTTTATTGTTATTTTTCTCTGTTTCTACTTTGTGAACTACATGGAATCACTGGGAGTTGGGCAGTATATAATTTTAATAATAAATACATTTAAATAAATAAAAAAGTCTTCTCTAATATTTATCCAAGTCTCTGCCACCTTCCTCATTTTATAGAAATAAAAATGATAAAAAGAGATATGTGAGAGACACTTTGGCTCCGAACAACCAATTCAGTAGTGGAGTTGTGTGTACTTGCCCGCCACTCGCATAGAACCATCGCCTCTCTCCCCTCCTGCCAGTCTGCAAAGCCAGAAAGTTTGGGGAACTGTGCCGTATACCCAGTGGTGGAATTCAAGTAATTTAACAAGCGGTTCTCTGCCCTAATGATTTCTTCCAACAACCAGTTTGCCAAACTGCTCAAAAAGTTAAAAACCGGTTCTCCCGAAGTGGTGCGAACTGGCTGAATCCCACCACTACCATTCCAGACAAATGGCTGTCCAATCTCTTCTTAAAAGTCCCCAGTGTTGAAATCAATTGAATTTTATTTGGCTAAGTGTGATTAAACACACAAGGAATTTGTCTCAGGTACAGAAGCACTCGGTGAACATGCAAAGCAACACAATCATCATCATCATCATCATCATCATCATCATCATCATCAATCAATCATCATCACCATCCCAATAAAAGGGAGACGTAAAGAATGATAAATACTACAGCTATACTACATGGGTAATTATACATAGACATTAGAGAGATGGAGCACCTTGAATCTCAGGAGGCAAGCTGTTCCACTGGTTAATTTTTTTTTTTTAATTTGATTTATATGCCGCCCTTCTCCGGAGACTCAGGGCGGCTTACAATGTGCTCAGCAATAGCCTTCATCCTTTGTATATTTATACAAAGTCAGCTTATTGCCCCCACAACTGGGTCCTCAATTTACCTACCTTAGAAAGGATGGAAGGCTGAGTCAACCTTGAGCCTTGGCGAGATTCGAACCTGCAGGAATTGCAGGCAGCTGGTCTTAATAACTAGCTTAATAACAGGGTGACTTAGACCACTGTACTACCAAGGCTCTTCTCACTGTCAGGAATTTTTTCTTTAATTCTAGGTTGGTTCTCTCCTTGTTTAGTTTCCATCCATTGCTTCTGTTAGGCCTATCCAAGCTTGGGCATTTAGGAAAGAAAGACCCTTGACTCCATTTGTATTGAAAGGTGTACTTTTACTAAAGCCAAGTGGTTACAGCATAAGGAAAGCTGGATCAGAATGTTCCCACATAAAACCTTCTCTTGGACCCTTTCCCCATGGTCCTTTCACAATTGTACAACAGTATTCAAACTAAGTGTTTTGATAACAGTGCTAAAGCCGCCCTGAGTTTCCGGAGAAGGGTGGCATATAAATCAATTTAAAAAAAAAAAAAAAGTTTTGCGCCTCTTTGGTGGGTGTTCACATTCTGTTCTCATGCTTGTGTCCTTCGATCTGTCAGGCTCTGTTCTGGGCTGGCACCTCTGGTCCCTGTCATTCCGCCTCCCTATATCCCTTTACTTCACCCTCCCCCTTTTTATGGCAGGATGCCATCAAACGAAGCAGGGCTGAAGTGATGCAATAACCCTAACCCTAACCCTAACCTGACATTCTGCCCCTCTTGAAAAAGTGGTTTATTCTTGAAACAGAAAGAAAATAAGAGAAATGGTTAGAGTTTATGCAGGTTTCAATGGGGTTTGTCAGGGTATTTATTGTGGAATTTGTGGAGGATTCTTTTTTTTTTTTTATTGAAAAAGTTTTAAAACAAACAAAATTTCCCCACAGCCCTCCCACCCAACCCCCCCTCCCCCTCCCCGACTTCCCAGAGCAGAACACAAGGTATTTCTATTAACTTTAAACAATAAACTAAATTGCTTAACCAATCATTAAACTAACACCCCCTAAAACAAATTCTTAACCCCCCATAGATAAAGTCCTACTTCTTAGACATAAAACTTCTAATATCACTTATATAGCGCTTGTACAGTTAAAAGAAATCATTCATAAGCTATTTGATATTTTTTGGTCTGATACTTATTTTGAATATAATCAATCCATCTTCTCCAGTCCTGTATATACCTTTCTTGTGTATGATCCTTCAAATATGCTGAAATTTTAGCCATTTCAGCTAAATTAGTTACTTTCAATATCCAGTCATCAATAGTAGGCAAAAAATCCTTCTTCCAATGTTGTGCTATCAACAATCTTGCTGCTGTTATCAAGTTCAAGGTCAGTTTAGTCTCTGCAACTATACAGTCCGTAGTTATACCCAGTAAAAACAACTGTGGAGTAAATTTCAGTCTTTTTTAAAAAATATTCTGTGTCACTCACCAAATCTTTATCCAAAATGCTTTGATTTTTCTACAAGTCCACCATATATGATAATAAGTTGCATCATCACAGTCACATCTCCAACATTTAGCTTGCACAT